TCCAAAGATCATAAGGCAGCCGTTCGACATCAGAAAGCCGTCGTCCGCAGCGGGGGCAGGTTCCTTCCCCTGCTCCCCTTTCTTAGCACTTCCGGCCAAGAACTTCCGCATGAGGACGTAGTCCTTGCGCAGATGTTTTACGAGAAAGGCGTGGTTCGGGCACAACCCTTTGAGCATTTTTTTGAAGTGATCGGAGTGCCCTCCGTGGGCTTCTAACTAATCTTGTGGTCGGCAGCAGCCACGAGCGAGTCCTCACGCTGTTGTTTCTTATTCTTCCTTTTGGTGGAACGATTGGAGGTGCTTTCGCCGGTACCCTTGTCCCACCTTGCCTTGCCTTCGAGGCGATCGAAGATCGCTCCGACCGCCTCTTCACCTAAGGCATGGCTGGTGGTGATGTCCAGGAGTTCCTTAGTGGTTCGTGGGCCCTTGCGTCCTAGCTTATGAACTAGGGATTTGCAGGTCATCCCGGATAGGAAGGCTCCTATCACGTCGGTGTCGGCGACATTAGGGAGCTCGTTGCACTGCTGGGAGAAGCGCCGGATGTACCCAAGGAGGGTCTCATCGCCTTCTGACGGTAGTTCTTGAGGTCCCATGGGTTCCCAGGGCGTTTGTACGTGCCCTAGAAGTTCCCCACAAAGATCTCCTTTAGATCCGCCCAACCGGATTGCGTTGGACGGTAGGTGTTCTAACCATGCCCGGGCCGAATCGGCCAAGAACAATGGAAGGTTGCGGATAATAAAGTCATCATTATCTGCACCACCGGCTTGACAGGCGAGCCGATAGTCCTCAAGCCAAAGTCTAGGGTTTGTCTCCCTAGAGTATTTAGGGATGTTAGTAGGTGGTCGATACCTTGGCGGGAATGTAGCATTGAGGATGTGCCGGTCGAAGGCCTGAGGGCCTGGCAGGCCGAGGGCTCGGGCTCCGGTCCTCGCCGGTGTCCTAGCGTCCGCCACGTCGAGGATGATAGTCGCGACGGGCTCCTTCCCTCGGGTCGCTGTGGGTGCGTCTGTGGGCGTTGAGGGTGCTGCGTGTGTCACGGTTGTGGTCGAGACGTTGATGTACCGGGATTGCAGCACGCTGCCCACCGCCTTGCGGTGCTTGGTGGACCGATGCGTCCCTGGCGGGCGCACACGAGGGGGTATGCTGGCTGGCGTCGGGCTCGCGTCGCCGAGACAGTGAGTTCTCCGCCTGCTGCGCTGCCGCACGCTCAAATAGCGTGTGAATCTCGAGGTGGACCCGATGATCCTCGGGCGTCACGACCTTTGGAAGGCCATGAAGTAGGGCCATTGTGGCGGCGATGTTCTGGCTTGCCCGAATGAAGTGAGGAAGGGTTTCACCGCCGGTGATGATCCTTCGGTTTACGTCGCGGGCCACGGCGCGTGCGTGCCCACCATCTCCGTGGCGCTTGATCTCCTCGTCGACCTCCGCGTACTCCCGAACAAGCTATTGTCCGGCTTCGTCTATTTCCCGCTTTTGGGCTCTCAGCTGCTCCACCCCTACATGAGGTGGGGCCGCTGCTCCCCCTTCGGTTCCGTTGCCAAGGTTGCCTATCGGGGTGACCTCCTTCTCGGAGGCACTTTCGACGTGTCCCTCGGAGGTTTCCGCCATGAAGCATTCCCGGGAGGGATGATGGCTCCCCCTGCCGGAGTCAGAGCCAAAGTCCGACCCCGGACCTTCCGCGAGGAGGCCGTGGAGGGATTCTGTGACGTTTTCGATCATCCCCACGAACTCATTGTTCACGGGGGACGGGATCACGCGTTGGGCCACAAGGTGGCTTACGGTCGCCGTGGCGTTGTGGAGACCGAACGGAAACACCGTCGAGGCATGACATGTGGAGCATTCTAGAGAGAGGGTGAGGCTGCGTGGGGCCTCCCTTGGACGGCTGGGGTCCAAGGGAGACATTGGGCTGGCACTCAAGCCTCCGGTAGTCGGAGCCGATGGAAGGGAGAGATTGGATGGTGAGACGGGCCAACGCCAACTCTCCTCCCACCGTGATGATGAAGTCCAGGTCACCGAAATGCACGTGTGCGCCTGGGACCCAGCTGATTGCGTGGTTAGCCATCCGAGGCCTGATTTGGAACGCGCAAAGGCCCCTACCTGGCGCGCCAACTATCGGTGTTTCGAACAAACATCAGCTAGTAAAATTATAATTGTTGCGTGTTGGGCCGGATGGTGCACTAAAGGACATGAGGTTTATACTGGTTTGGGTTGAACGTCCCTACGTCCAGTTTCTGCTGCTGCTCGTGTTATTAGTACCGAAAATGGTTCATAGTAGGGGGTACAAATGGTCGAGAGAGGGATGGGTCCCAAGTCTCTGATGGAATGGTCGAAAAGGTCACCGAGAGCTTAGTCGCTGCTCAGCCGTGTGTGAAGTGTCGTGTGTGTTGAACTTATCCGTCAAGAGTCGATCCCCTTAGTGGGGGGCCCTGCCCTCCCTTTTATAGACCAAGGGGGGAGCAGGGGTTACAAATGGGAGAAAAGAGAAAAGCCAGAGGCCAAGAAGCCCCTCCGAAGATGTTGGGCCCTCCTTTTCCGCTGAGCCAGCCTCGCTGACACGGCCAGACGGTGTCAGGGATTGGCACGTTCGCCGGACGCTTGTGTGCTGACGACGCCATGCCCCTACCGGATCAGCAAGTGGTCACGTCCCGTCCCGCCCCTCGGCGGGTCGGACGTGTCGGCCCTAAGGGTGTTGGACACGCAGAGTCCTTTGAGGGGGAGCGGTCTCTTCGTGGACCATAGATGTCGTCGTCTATGTCAGTTCCGTGTAGAGGGTCAAGGCGGCTCTACAACACTATTCGGACTCTGCCACGCCCGGAATGGCCTAAAGCGCCCGTCCCGTCGTACCCTGACGGTACTTTCCTACATCGGTGCAGGGCATGGTCGCTTGGTACTGCGTTTGACTTGAATGTCCTGCCGTACCTTGTGCTTGTCATTATGAAGGGTATGGGTGTAATCGTCGGGCGAGGCGGACTCTGCCCCCGGCCGTCGGCGTGAGGCGGAGCCGGCCCTCGGACGTCGGGCGAGGCGGAGCCTAGCCCTCGGGGGTCTGGCAAGGCGGAGCTTGCCCTCGGACGTCGGGCGAGGTGGAGCCAGCCCTCGGGGGTCGGGCGGGCGGAGCCTAGCCCATGGGGGTCGGGCGAGGCGGAGCCTAGCCCTCGGAGGTCGGAGGCGGAACCAGCCTTCCGTCGTTCGGACAAGAAACGCAGTAGGGTTCCCGTCTGATCGAAATTATCAGCGTTCGACGATCGTCATTAGTTCCACCTCATTAGGTACCCCGGTATTAGGTCCCCGACAAATCGAAACTATCAGCCCATCATAATTTTAGTGGGCTTTTGTTCCTTTGCGCTAGTTTTTCTTATTTGCGCTAGTTTTTCTTATATAAATGTTGATTTATATTTTGAAAGTCTTCTCTTTTGGATAATGGAAACTATCAGGATCAGGCCAGTAGTCTAATGGACTAGTTCTGTTCATAGTGGCTGATCCCTCTGTGATCAGAACCGTGGAAGTACTCTCCGTTCTAAATTATTTGACGTTTTGGCATTTCTAGTTTCAAGGCTTTTGTTGAGTATATCTAGATCAATGTTATATCTAAGATACATAGCAAAAGTTATGAATATAGAAATATCAAAACTTCTTATTATTTGGTACAAAGGAAATTGAAAGTAGCTTTAGTTGGATGGGAATGTGAATTGTGGAACTGTGTAAGTTTGTTATTTGTCCTAATGAAATTCGGTATTACCATTGTGGAAAGAAAAAAATGGAGTTCAATTCTAGCTTTTTAGAACAGTTAGGAGAAATTAGCTGTCTATCGGCTCTCATTAATTTTTTGGGGTAAAAAAAAGGAGGTAGTTAACGTGCGGCAGGTCATGTGGTCGTGGAGAGCACGACCCCTCCCATCGCCGCCTCGCACTGCCACCCACGGCCGCTGGCGACGCGTCGCCTTGCCACCCCGCCCACCATCCGCCCCGCGCCTTTGTTAATTCGTTGGCTCCGTCAACCAGTCGTCGATGAGCCTCCCGCGCTCCTGCTCCGCACCAACTGTCGCCTCCACCACCATGGCTGGCAGTGCTCCATCACCTCGCCTCGCCGCCACGCCCACCACCACAACCCCACCACTGGCCAGCTTACTGCCAGGGATTAGGGGTCGGGGAAGACAATAAACCCTAACCAACCTCCGGCCGGCGTCACCGCGGGGCGGGGGGCACATGGATCGTGCTCTTTGATTAGATTTTGCGTAAAAAAAAGGTAATATTGTACCTTTTACTCTTGGAATGTTGTACAAAATTTGAGTCTATCATTTATTTGTCCTCAACTTTTTACTAAAATTTGCACGAAATTTCTTGAGCTCAATAAAGTAAGAATATAGTCTGTATTAGACTATCTCCAATAATATCACCTAAAATACAAGACCCATTTCACGTTTGGGTAGCGCTACAGGTAAATGGTTCAATACCTATTTTTTATCTTCTCCAACAACAGGACCCAAAAGAGAACCCTTTCTGCAAATGAGTCTTCAGGAGAGAAAATACTCATATTTAAGTTGTAATTCTACTATAAGCCAAAAATACGTCTCATATATAGGTAATCTATTGGAGACCAAAACAGTACCCTTCAATACCTATTTTGAGTTTGGGCAGTAACTAGTAAAAGCGTGCGTTAGTTCGAGCCCAAAGAATGCAAATGTAGCGTTTGTTTTTATTTGGTAATAATTTCCAATCGTTGTAATATCAAAACGTTCTTGTATATAGGTAAAATCAATTAGTTTTGAAACAATAAAACAGTACCCTTCGATATCTAATTAATAATGGGGAATCTTCTTTTTTATTTTGAGTTTGATGAACTAAACGTGGCCTAAGCCGATGGAGACAGTTTTATCTGAAGAAACTTTCCGTCTTCTCACGATTTCGCGCAACCCCCTAAACCGAGGAAGAAACCTGCTGACTTCCTTCTCTTCTCGTCCCCCTAACCAAAGGCGTCTCTCCACCTTCCTCGATCCAGCCATGTCGTCCGCGCCGCCTGCCCACCTGTCCAAATCTTCCCACAACCGCCGCCAGCACCACAACCCCGGACCGAGGCCGCAGCAGCCGGCGCAGCAGCGCTACGTCCCCAAATCCGCCGCCCCCGCGGCGCCAAAACCCTCGCCCCCGTCCCAGCCATCGCTCACCACCGCGCTCCGATCATCGGCCGCCTCGTCCTCCGCGTCCGGCTCAGGCGGGAGCTCCAGCGGTAGCGTAGGTGGCGGGGCGGCTGATGCATTCGTCGCGTACCTGCCGCATGACGAGGCGGTCGCGGCGGGTCTCGGCGGCCTCGACGCACATGAGTCGCAGGTCGTCGTCGACCTCCTGAACGACTCACTGGCCGCGCTCCTCCGGGCCAAGCCTCGCGAGTTCTGGCTCCAGGGTAAGTGGAACATTCGCATGTGCATTGCTCGCTGATCGAACCTGCTATTGCTTGCTTCAGTATAGTTGGTCGACTGAATTTAGTGCGCCTTCTGATGCTTATCCGTTCAAAACAAACCAATGCTGTCTTCTAAGTATAAAATTCATGTTAGTACTTGCTTGGGATCTCGTAGTGTTCTTATTGTGCAATTGTCTTTCAGTGATTTTGTTTATTTTCCGCTTTGTATCATATATGCATACAAATTTAGTGGCTTAACTAGCTGACCTTCTGTTTTGTGTTTTTTGTTGATAATACCGTAAGATGATGAGTCCGCATGTAGTTTGATGTTCACCTAACAATTTGATTCTTCTTCTTCACACTACATGCCTTGTTTTAGATACTTTCCTGCCTATATGTTATGTTGCAGGTCAAGCCTCTTAACAAATTAGGTTTTGCTGTGCAGTTTAAACTATTCCAGTTTGTTGCGGCAATTCAAGTGACAGGCCCAGAAAATAATATCTCTAGCTATTCGTTATTTGTTAGTTGAATTTTCAATTATGCTCATATTGTAGAGAAAATCTCAGCTATTCGGTTCAAATCTTGAAACACAATCTCAATTGCTCTTTACACATGAGATGCCTCTGCAGTGGTTTGCATATACATAATGGTGATTGGGACAAAAGAGTCATGCTATCTGAAGTCCTTTATTCAGTGTTTCGGACAATTACCAGTCACATTTTATTTAGCAAGGAAATATGAGGTGCAAAAGATTATATTAGTGAACCTATGAACAGTTGAGCATACTCATCTCATTCCTCAGATCTGATCTTTGTGGATCAAGTGAGGTTTGAAATTCCCTCACCTATCTTGGTGACTTAAAGACAATCGGATTTAGCATTTAGTCAAATGAAAAGATGGATAAGAGGGATGAGGGAATTCTGACCTCCCACTTGGATCCTAGGCACAAGATTGGGTATGTGCATGTTTTCACCATTATAATCTTGCGCACCTGATACTTCCTATTAACATTATCAAGTACTATTCATGTAGTGTCTTGCACTCTTGCCACATTCGTGAATAGTCAGTTAGGGAAACAGGGTAAAGATGGTGTTTATAGACTTTTCGGCTGCGAATAATAATGTTTAGATGTAACCGCACAAGGATCTGTCATGTGCCCTAGATTCTCAAACAGAAGTTATCTCAATAATCGATAGTTCAATAAATAGATTAGTTAATATGATTAATTTAATATGTCGTTGTTCCACAACTGGTACATCTAAACTTTGTCAATGACATGCTAACTTTTGTTCTTTCCCAGTGGCACAGAACACTTCTCTGCATGAATTCCTTGATAGTTATCTACAATTCAGGCACAGGTGGTATGATTTGCCACACCGAGGCCCAAGGGGGACTGTAGCAGGTTTGGTTGTTGGGGAGCTTGAGCTTTGCCGCCGTGTATTTATGGTCCTCTACCGCATGTGAGATTTCTATCATTTCCCATCTTCTGTTGTTTTGTTACCTTTTCACTGAGTTGTTTTTGTGTTTTAGATCCTCAAATAAGGATCCCGGAGCAGGTCGTGGTGAGTCCCTTAGCATGAAGGAGCATGCAGGTGAAATTATGTCACTCATTTATTCATTGTGTGGGGTTTATTGATTCCACCATTGGTTTGAATATACTGTATTGTATTCTCAATCCCACAATGTTCCTTTGTAGCCCTTCTGCTGGAGAAAAAAATGCTTGATCTGCCAAAATTGTTGGACATATGTGCTATATATGAGCATGACAACAGCAAGTTAACAAGTTCACTGGTGGGTCCCTCAACTAGTTTTTTTTTTCCTCGAACACACCCTCAAGTAGTTTTTTGTTATTTGGTTGTTTTAGGCACTTCTATTTATTATTTTTCAAATTAAAATATATTTTGTTCATTATTTTCAGCTAAATTTTCTTAATTGTGAAAACTTATGCTGACAAAAGGCACTCTCTTTGTGTATCTCCAGGTTACGAATGTTATTAATGTGCAGCCAAATGTCCTGGATGGCATTAATATTGTCATTCCCCAGTTCTTGAACATTTTCCACACGATGCATGATAGGTGCATGACATCTTTACAGGTGATCTTTGTCGTTTTCCCCCTATTCCTTGTGGTTACTCTTAATATTGATAAAAGGTCTTATTTATTTGTAGCAATATTCGATAGCATTGTTTAATAGTTACTGTTTGTATGTCCGGGGAAGCCACATATAGGCATGCGGGACTCATTATATTTAATTTACATCTTGCACTCTTCTTTTAGATCCAGGATTTTCAGTTTCATTGATCATGCTATAAATTATTATTTATTGCTGATTCCTTAATTTCTCCATTTCATGGTCTCTTTGATGTGTGTGTTATACATGTGTGCAATATCTGGTCAGCTTGGCATAATGTATATAATCTCATACTCTTCTACCTCATTATTGTTTACTGTGTATGTGTATCTCTACTTGCCTTCTCATAAAAAACTTAGTTCCCTGTTCCTTTCAGCATTACTGATGCTAGTTTGGTTAAGAGATTTGTTTCTGGCAGTTGACACAATCTATTAGCTTTTCCAGGACATTGTTATCGTACTTGGCAGCTGAAAATGATAATTAGAATTAAATGATTTCCTTTAAAGTGCATTAAAATTTCATATGCAAGTGTTTACTTATTGTGTTTAATCTTTATGGGTCAATAATAGCAACAATGAATTTGTCATGCATTCTCAGCTATTGGATAATAGTTCTTTCCTGATATCCTATATGTATTGGACCCCATCTTAACCGCAATTGAATTCAGGTGCTCACTTCAACCGGATCAATTGATAATGGATATGTTCAGCTTCAGAAAGATTTCTTGGAGGTTACTTCTATCCATGCAGAACTTATTCTTGATTTGCCTGCTTTATATTTTTCCTATCTCCCCAGAATTGATGGTAATGTTGATTGACCACAGGTGTTAGATTTTATAAACGATGCAATTGTTACTCTGGATTCATTTGTTGGTGCTTATCAACCTGCCGCTTTATTGTTCTGTACTAATTTTGAAATGAGGTGAGCAAGCTTCTTGTTCATCCATTGATGTTTGATGACTTCGAGATCTTTCCCTGTTTTATCACTTTGTAACAGTCCTTGTCTCCTCCCTGATTGCAGCTATGGAGTTGAGGAATTGCTGAATGCCCTTGCAAGGTTGTATGATTCATTGTTACCATCATTGTTCCAGGGGTTTAAAGTTATGCCCAAGTCCCAGATCAATGCAGAGGCATCACTTGACAGCACACTTAGTGACATTCCTCTTGGTATAAGGATGTTGTCAAAGAGAACAGTGAGATTCGGTTGGAGATTGTTGCACTACTGCTATTTGAATGATCAAGTTAGGGAGCATGATGCTCCAACTTCTACTAAGATGTTTCCAGCTAAAGTCGAAGACCCTATGATCAGGGGAGACATCTTGGTTCAAACACTCAAAGATATAAATAGAGAAGCCACTTACTCTTCTCAAGTGAAGCATGGAAATACTTTCCTCCAAGCACTTGAAAGGGAATTTCAATTAATGAGCCAGATTGGCGATATTCGGAACAAAGGTACACAATGGAGTTCTTCAATCAAATGCATAAATAGTACTTGTTATATTTAGTATACGATCTAATAGCTTATTTGCACAAGTCATCTTAAAGTGTTAGTAGCTCATGCAAGGACATTTTCTGCGCACATTTATGAAAAATGTTTATTCTACTGTGATGTCTGCTCTTACAATCACTGTGAGTTAACACAATTGAAAAGGTGACATGCAAGAGTTGTTTCTTAGAAGCATAGACTTTCCAGTTTTATGAAGTATCAATCTCCCAATAAATGGCAAAGTTTGGATAGCAGGATCACAATTCTATGTTATTAAAAGGAAATTTTCTTGTCAGAATCATTATTCAATTGGGTATTTCATACTTATTATGAGTGTATTCATTTGACTGTCTTTTTATAGCCTGTTGTTTGCTGCTGCTTGTTTCGATGATGTTTCAATCCCTGTGTACACTTCTAGACTATGTATAATGAAGCGATGTCCTTCCATGAAACCACATGCAGATGCAGTTTTACGAACCTCCATTTACTTAATAAGGTTGCTAATCAAAGTGTTCCTTAGGTTTAATTTTCTTACTGAGTTCTAACGTGTTTCTGTATTAGGAGTCAATTCTAGAGTGAGAGGATTTTAATCCCAATTAAAGCTTTCTATTTTTGTTGTATCATCGTTGATAATTGATTGTTGATTCCATAATTGTTCATTGTTTCAGTTATTTCTGGATTCTGTCATGTGAATAATTTAGCGCAACATTTTTAATTAATTAATGTACATGCTACATTTTCTTTTACTTTCGAATTTAATCTGATGGTGTAGACCTTTTGTGTAATGTGATTTTTGTTCCTTGAACTCGTAACAGGATGGATATACATGGATGATGAGCAGTTCCAGTTCTTATCACATTTGTGTGGATCTACTCACACTTCTTGGAATGGCATACCTGATTTGCCAGTCTCTTCTCATCATGGTGGTGAATTACAACAGAAGGATGAGGAAACGGCGATGGTTGAGTCCAAGATTAGTCAGATAAAGGACCTTTTTCCTGATTATGGGAAGGGTTTCCTTTCTGCCTGCCTGGAAGCCTACAACCTGAACCCTGAGGAAGTTATCCAGAGGATATTAGAAGGAACACTTCATCAAGATCTTCTAGCTTTGGATACTTCATTAGAAGAGATGCCACAGAAAAAACTTGCACCAACTGCTGTGAAAGATAAAGGGAAGGGCATATTGGTGGAAACTGCACCTCAAATTACAAAGAAACCCCATAAAGTTGCTGAGACACATTATGTTGTTCAAGATGGCCCATCTTCAGCAACTTCATCGGCATCACAAGGTCCATCTTCTGCAATTTTATCAGCATCCCAGGGATCATCTTCTGCAATTTCACCAGCACCCCTCGGGCCATCTTCTGCAATTTCATCAGCATCTCTGGGCCCATCCTCATCCGTATCATCTGTCCCAAAAGGTAGATTTACAAGGAAGGCTAATGATGATTTGCCAGACACTGCAATCCTGGACTCGAAAAATGCTAAAGATGCAGCTAGATCTGTTATCCTTGGCTCACAGTATGAGTATGAAGATGAGTATGATGATTCATTTGATGATCTTGGCTTCAGTGTGGTAGAGTCAAGTTATGAGGAAACTGATGGTGCCAATGATGCTGAGGCTTCATCAGATGGCCCAAGATGGAGTTCACAGAAGAAACCACAGTTTTATGTCAAGGATGGGAAGAATTATAGCTACAAGGTTGCTGGTTCAGTTGCTGTAAACAGTGCTCGAGAAGCAGCTATCATGAGGCAAACTCAGAAAGATACAATCTATGGTCTGGGTCGTGGTGGAAATTTTTCTTTTGGTGTCTCGAACAGGCAACATATAGATGTGGAGGAAGAGGAAGTTGGTGATGCTGACAACTCAGGCAGAGGTTCAAATTCCCGTGGCCGAGGAAGAAAAGGTGGCAGGGAAGGCAACCGTCCAGAGGAAAATGAGAGCTCCAATGGACGAGGCTCTGGCTTTGGTGGTAGAAGAGGAGGCTGGAATCAGGGCAATCCGGCTGAGGAAAACTGGAACCCTAATGGTCAACAAGGTTTTGGCCGTGGTAGCAGAAGAGGGGGCTGGAATCAGGGTGGCCCAGCGAAGGAAGACGGTAATTCTTGTGGCAGGCAAGAAGGTTTTGGCCGTGGAGCAAGACGGGGCAGCATGAACCATGACCACTATTCAGCCGAGGATAATGAAGGCCATCATGATCCAGCACAAGGCTTTACTCGAGGACCAGCTCCTCGTGGTGGTGGCCATGGAAGGGGAGGTGGGCGGAACCATCACAGGAGAGATCGGGCAATGAAGAAGCATATGCAAGGATTGACAGGGCTTTAGCTGCTGTTAACCTTCTACTTCTGAAGGGTCGTACTGTAAATGGCATTTTTGGAGGCACTCATACTTGACCATCCAATTTTTTGTGCTTGTTCCATTTTAAATCAAATAATGCCATGTAGTAACCCACATAGGTTGTGGTCTATATTGTCGAAAATAGCATATGTAATTGCCCCATTTTTTCATCCTTAAAAAAAAAAGAAAGATTCATTCCTCCAATTATATTCTCTTTCATTTCTTAACCTCCATTACTTAATACAGATTCAAAGCGTTCCTTAGGAAAACAGCATATATTTTGTAAACATGCTTTTTAGCTCGTTAAATACATAATTAAAGTTTTGTTGGCTTTCTTTTGTCATGTACTATCTAGTAAAAACGTTTTTTTTGTGTGCATAAAATCGTTGTATATGCCCATATGTCATACCCAATTAGGCCTCATTCCCTCACCCAATGTCCTCCGACCTTGTAAATCTTATAATCCGTACCGTTTCAAATTATAAGATATTTTGACTTTTTTAAATATATTGTTTAACTATAGATCTAGATATAGTGTATATCTAAGTGCATACCATGGAGGAAGTACCTAATTGTGTTCTAGCATCAAGTCAATCAGCAAATCGTGGACGATCAGCTCTTGGCAAGCTTGGGAGTGGCTTGTTTTCTTTTGAGCGCTAGGCGGTCTACTGAACCCTAAACAACGATCCGAGAAGCCTATGCAATGAACATTCCCTCTGCTAAACCTACGATTCGAGAAGCGTATGCAATGAGCATTCCCTCTGTTAAACCTATGCCATCCTGGTTGAGGCATACTAGGTCAATCCGAAAAACTATGCACAGAGTTAAGCCTACAGTGGTTCCTCACAAACAGTTTGAAGCAGGCCAGCCGGCGACAACCCTTCTAAGCCAACCAAGAAGCCTGGGCCTCGTTCGCTTAAGCTTACTTAGAACTACTTTTTAACTATGGAACAGTGTTTTTCTCTCATAACATTTCAGCATAAGCTTCATCATAAGCCAAACTTCAGCATAGCGCCTACCGGATGGTCCAACAACCTATCAACAACATCCTGCAGAGCTTGAGCAAATCTAACTAATCCTTTACCTTTGTCCTAGTTAAAGACCCTTCACGCCCATGAAGCACAACACCTCAAACCTAATAGAGGGGATTGAATTGGGCTAATCTAAAATTCTCGCGAAATTAAAACTTATCACTTAGCTCATTTCACCCCTGTGTCTAATAGTGTTTTCTATCCTACCGTAAAAAGTTTTAAAAACTAGTTCCAATCCTACACTAGCATGACAATTCTAGTAATGTAAATACTTGAAAGTAAATTAGAGAAGGGTAGAAATACGGCGATGTTTTTTCGAGGTATCAGAGAGTCCACACTCTCCCGTTAGTTCTCGTTGAAGCACCCGTGTAAGGGTATAGCTCCCCATCCAAGTGAAGGACCAAGTGTTCTTTACGGTCCATATTATTTTTTCCAACCACCCTAAAACTTGTAATATGCTGAATACTTGAACTAATATTTCTTTTCACCTTTTTAAACACTCAGAGGAAGAGAAGCCGTGTAGGCGGCTGTAATCATTCGCATAAAAAAAAAAGATTGGAATATACTTTTTCCGCAGCCATATGCCCCACCCTTTCTTCATATCTACGCAAAGATGGAACCCTGAAGTGATCATCTGCGCAGAGAAAAGATGGCGACATGGATTAACAAGACTGCTTACCTGCTTCTGCGGTTCTGCCGAGTGGAGTAAGTAGACTATGATGGTATTGGTACCTTTGCTAGCAGTAATACTCGCACTTCTTTTTCCTCTTCCGTTCTACGTCTCTGACATTTTTCTTAACGATATTAGGAAGGATGGCCGAGCTTCTTCTGTAGCTTTTCTGCATCCACTAAGTATTCATTGGAAGGTGAATGTTTGCTTACACATGAAGAGACGGGTTCAAGAGGGAAAAAAATCACCAGTTGTGAGATGACAAGGTTAAAATATGCACTTGCCATTGTGATGATGAGTGATTGTGAAGTCCTTTCGGTCGGTTCTACCTTATAGCTAATTGGAGGCGAAGTGGTGACGATGCAACATGTCTCTTCCTAAGATGTAGTTGTGAATTCCTCATGAATCAATTGAAATTTGTTGTGCGATTTCGTGCTCCTATCTCTATCCCTCTTCTGTAATTTCAGACTCATTTTATGGATTTTTTTTACTTGTCGTTTTGGCTGAGATTTTTATATGATTTTGGAGCGTTTATGAGCCTTAAAACTTAGTCATATCATGGCTTAAAGTCCACACTTATCACAAGCACCATAATTTCTTGTTTTTAAATTTTCCAGACAAAATTCAAATTATTGAGAGAACAGAGAAGAACTCCAAAATTCTTGGTGAAGCCAATATTTTGGCAAAATGGAAGCCGTTCAAGTTTCTGATTTTTCCTCTCATGTTTCAAAGGTTGTTTTCTGGTTAGTGCTGAACTTCCAGGTGTTTTTGCCGAACTTCAGCATTTGAACTTGCACTTCAACTTCCGTTTTTTTTAACCTCCGGACAACTTTGCTAAACTTTAGCACTTCAACTTTCCAGCGTTTGCAAAATTTCTGGAGATCTATGTTGAACTTCCACATCTTAGATTCAAGGGTTGTTCTTGACTCGTTCTTACTTCTGCTTTATATTAAGTCTTTCTTAGCAATGTTCTAAGGTCAAATAGTCTCCCAACGGCTATGTATATTTGGATTTGCTAGAAGATATGTGTGCTGGGCAAAGATTGACATAGGCAAAATTCCTTCGCTTGTTGAAGGCTCCCATTCAACCCAAGCCCGCCCCCACCCTCAAAATTGTTGTTGTTACCATATATTACGAGGAGAGCAAAATTTACATGCAGATAAGAGATAACATGTTCCCAGATTATATCAGATGAGCATAATTACATAAGAAGTCATATCCCAGAAGCTGCACTGAACTACTTACTGAAAGTGGGCAGCTTTTCTAAGCCTCAACCTCAATTCCTGCAAGTCACCCAACAAGAGAGAAAGAACCTGCTATGGTTATTTTTCTTTTGTACAAAAAGAATTTCCACAGGATCCAAAAGTATACCCCCTACCCCCCACCCCGACCTTCGTCCTCCCAACCTTAAACGTGTGCCTCATGGCATATGCCAAAGCGGTATCCGCTTCAGCAGCTAAAACGGGCATAGCTGGTGTGCTGTGTGTTCCTTCCAAAATTCAGTTTTGTGACTTTGTGATTTGTCCTGTCCTAGGATGAACTGTCATCATCAGAGTTGTTCTCCCTTCGTTGTCCATACACACTTAGAACTGGCAGTGAGGTGGCTGAAATGCGGAAAGACCTGGCCGACCCAATGACCGTTCTATCCTGCTGCAACCTGCCAACCTCCTTGCAGACATGATCCAACGTCGAGAGGAAGTCCCTCACCACCATGAATATCCTAAGAGGGTGCGCTTCCTCTTTCGCGGTGTCACCATGGAAGTACTGCGTGATGTCTTTTACTCTCACCAAGGCCCTCTTCTCCTCCCCTCTGACTTTCTCTATCTCTGCCTCAGCTTTCTTCAGAAAACTTTGCATTGTCGTAAAGAATTTCTGGCCTTGAGTGCATTGCCTCTCGAGCTGCAAGACCGACTTGAAATTTTCAAGACCTGTTTCTAGCTTATTAACATAGCCATGCAACACATCAAAGTCCATCATAGCTGCTTTCTTGACATTTCCTAGCTCACTGCTAAGCCCAGAGACAAGTTTCAGGCCTTGCTTCCGTAACTGCTCGTCTTTAGAGCTATGGATAATCATGGCACTTTCCTTTTCTGATTTTGCATCTTCTGATCGAATGATTTCTTGGACGACAAAATGCAACAGCGTTGTTTTACCATCAGTGCCCTTGACATCAGCAAGTTTTAGGAGAGTGTCAAGCTTGAAAGCTTTTGCCTCACCCCGGTTTGTGCCAACATTCATCCGGTTCCCGGTTCTCAGCACTGCTTCGAGGAGTTTCAGGAACAACCTGCTGCCTCTAAGATCTTCGCAGGCTGCCTGGAAACAAGTGAAGAAATGTCAGCGTGGATTGATACACAGGTCAATGATAATGTTAGTAATCAAAATGATGGAAGTGAAAGAAGGATTAATGCAACATGGATTACCATTTTAGCATACCTCTAGTGTCTCAAAAGATTTCATTAAGTAATTTATTTCCGTCTCAAAATTGGCTCGGTATAGCATGGCATCAACTCTCTTGAAGGCAAAAGGTATATCAAGCACAGCTTTGAGAAAGCGCTCAGCAGAACCAAGCTTCGATGCATCACCATTATAATCTCGTAGTTTGAGTTCTTCCTCTTTAGTAGGAGCCATCTTGACTAAAGTCTCCAAAAGTTCAGTCCCCAAACATTCAGCGCTACCTGTTTGTTAATACAGTAGAAATGACAAATCAATGGATCATGAGCTATATTTCATAGAGATTTATATTTTAAATGTCAAAACAGCTAAGACTGCAATAGGCACCAGCGTAAATCAGTAAACTGATTACGTGTAACATTCAGCATTTCTGTGTAGAAACAGAGCAATCTGTAGAGAGAATTTGACTAAGATGCTCCACAGCTTGAGTTCAAAAGAATCATTGTCATAAAAGAATAGTTATGACTGAAAAAACAAAACCCAAAACAAGTGCTATTTTTCCTGCTTAGTTTATCTTTGGATGTCAACGCTATCGCCAATACTCACTGATACCATCCCCAACAAATGGGTGAAATACTGTTCAGTGTAGCAATGGATGGATGTTTTCAAAACATGACAACTATGGAGGATCTTTGTCCTGTAGAGATTTCATATCCTAGTAATCTGTTGAGATTTGTTTGTCAAAAACCATGGTTTCTGTTAGTTTCAACACATCTAAAGTACCTGTCACTATTGAACTGGTATGCCCATCAAGCTCCAAAAGGAAAAATATTATAGAAAGTTAAGAGTCAATAATATTTGAAACGAATATCTTACCAAAGCATCCAGATGCTGAATACCAATAACAGTCTATGATGACAAATCCAAATTGTGAATTAGAATACAGAAATGAAAAAGGAAACTCTTATTTTAGCTAGATTTTTCAAGTCAGTTCAATGCTTTCGGTATCAAAACAGGGAAATTACTTTCAGCAAGAAACATTGGCCACTGAGTTTATCCAAACAACAAAATCAGCGCTGCAAAGGCCCAAGGAGCAGTGTAGTGACACTCACCATCCAACAGTGCATCAGAGACCTCATCGCGTGTAACATTCAATGCACGGAGCAGAATGGCGATATTCTGTGCTTTCTTGGGGTCGAGAACCCTCTCCTCCTGCCTGAACGGTGGGACGGTAGCCTTCCTTCCCGCATCTCTTGGCGGCGCGGCTGGCGTTGAGTTGTTCATGAACAATGCCTCGATCATGTCCTCATCCAACCTGAAAGAAATGCCTCAACATCACGTATATTCACTGATATCCAGCCATTAATAGCACATGTAGTATGAAGCAAGATCTCAACTGGAATGAGCTTGACTTCAGCTGGTCCCAGACCATGGCGCGGTCGGAGGTCGCTCGCACCTTGTCCCAGTGCAGCGGCTTCAGCTTCGGCCGCGGCTCGCCGTTGCCAACGATACCGTCTGCCACGTCATCCTGTTTACGCATTGACGCGCTCCCAATACTATCCTCTGCCGTTGCCGCCGTGATCGGCATCGGCAAGGCAATGCGGGGACCCTCAGGTGGCAACGGCTTGAGCAACCGGCGCCGCGACGTCGGTTCGGAAGGTTGCTGTGCGGGCTTCGGGAGTGTATTAGATGGAATCATTGGTGGCGGCGGCGGAGGAGGAGGAGGAGGAGGTTTTGGAGCTGTGATAGACTTCAGCGGTGGCGGTGGAGGAGGTGGTGGTGGCGGCGGCGCTGCTTTGGGTGGCTGCACCGACTGCGGGGACGGCGAGATCACCTGTTTGATGTCAGGGATCGAACCGGCAGAGAAGCGCGTGCGTGGGGGCGTACGGCGGGACCGCGCAGGGGGCGGTGTCGGTGCAGCAATGGCCGCGACCGGAGGAAAGCATTCGCTGGTGAGGCTGGGGAGGCTTCGGCGGGACGCGGTGGTGGTGGTGGGCGGGCTGGACGCGCTGGCCTCACTCCACGTTTCGCCGCCAACCCCGCCGCCGCCGGAGCGCTGGCGCGGCGTGTAGTAGGCATCATCGTCAGAGGAGCCCACTGTGGCCGCGCGGCGCAGCGGCGGGAGCGGCCGGAGCTCCGGGCTCGGGTGGTCGGTGGGCTCGTCGCGGCCCACCCCGCGGCGCGCGCGCTCGGTGCGCAGCTTGCGGTACGGGGACCCAACGAGATCAGCGGTGGTGGGCCCGTGGTGGCGGCCGGGCGTGGTGGGCTCCACCGTGCCGACGTAGAGGAAGTCGGCGGCCGAGGGCGCAGAGTGATGGCGCGCGGACCCGCGGTCGGGGCCGAGCAGCTTCTGCGACTCCCCGCGGCGGCGCGCGCGGCCCGCGATGAGGAACGCGCACGCGAAGGCCAGCAGCGCGATGGCCGCGGCCGCGGCCGCCCCCGCCGCGACGATGGTCCCCTTCGTAGGGCCGCCGTGGTGACCGCCGTCGCCGGACCCTGACGAGGCGCTCGGGACGTTGGCGGCGATGGTGGTCGGCGTTGAGGACGTCGTCGTGGTGCCTCCGCCGCCAGCAGGCGCCGTCGGTGGCGCCGTAGGGAAGAAGTCGCCAGGAGGCCCGTCCGGCGTCGCCGGGTCGGAGGTGAAGTCCGGCGCCGGCGGAGGCGGCGGCGACGGCGGCGGGGTCCACTCGATTGGGAACAATGGCTGGTGGAGCACCCGCCTGGCCCCGCCTCCGCCGACATCGCCGGGCGATGCCGACGCCGCGGCCGCCGGCGAGAGGCGGCAGCACAGCAGCAACACGGCGCACGCTGGTAGCAGCGTGAGGGTAGTGGGAGGCATTGGCGGTGAGGCAGAAGAAAGAAGAAGAAGAAAAGATGAACCGATCGGCCGCGGCCTCGGCTTTCTAGAGCGGGAGTGAGGGTGAGGGGAGAGGGAGCGTGGGAAGGGGAGTGGACGCCGCCATTTTTGGTTCCGGGGCTGTAACATACATTGCTGCCACCGGCGGGGGAGATCAACCGTCCCGCTCACACGTAGCGCGGGAATCTGCGGCTTTCCGTTTGCCTCTTCTTTTTTGGCTTCCTCTCTCTTTCTTCCCCTGTCTCTGGATCCCACTCGCTCTGAATAAAAGGAGATCCAATCAGAAACTAGAAGAAATTTCGGTGGTTGTCATGCATACTAGAACCGACGAAGGAAAGAAGGTTCATTGACACACACTTTTGGTTGAAAAATGGAGATTTTTTGCGGTGCCTTTGAAAATTCGGGATGCATTAAAATACAGGTGATGGAAGGTTGGTGCTTGGTTCGCTCGAGGAGGCAAGAAAATATTCCGCAATGGGGGGCAGTAAACACATGCTGACATGGAACCTGATTCTTTGCTTGCCAACAAACTCGATGTGATTTGATCTTCAGGGCAGAAAATATAGAAAAGGTCTACTATGTGAGCACTCAGTACGTCTTGCTTGCTTAAATATTCTCCATGGGCTTCATGAGTTCTCTGTGGTCTACACACAGTACGCTGCTATCGATGAGCATGAGCATGCTACTATGCTAGTACAGTAACATAGAGCGGTACTACTATGACAAGTGGTCCTGGCTCGGCTCGCTTGTTGTTTAGAATTGGATTTTCATTCCACAGACGTGTGGGGCTCGGTGACAGTAGAAGGGCACGCCCTTCCTGCTCCGGGCATGCTGCAACTGCAATGCACCTGCCCGGGTCGCCACCCGCGAGCTGCCGCGAGCAACTGCAAACAGCACGGAGAGCCGAGGACGAGGAGGCAGATATGTCCCGCACGCACGGCCTTGTCGCGTTCCCGCTCCCGGTGGTACGCATGCAGCAGCTGCAGTTCCACGCCGTCGCCTGCACGCCAGCAGCAATGAACCGTTCCGTTCCGTTCGCCGTGGCCACGCCCACGGCCCACGCCAACGCATTATCACTGCCTCGCTGCTGTAGCTACCGCCGTTGCTTTAGCAGTGGCGCGGCGTGAACCGCAATGATCAAAAGCTGCGTCGCGCGAAAGGCAGTGGTACTGTGTCGTTGATGCTAGTAGGGTTATCAGTATTCATTCAGTGCTGCTCCTTTTTTTTTCTTCTCTCTCTCTTTTATAAAACCATCTGGCGCTTTTGCTCTTGCATCATATTGTATCATTCCGCCTAGTTGGTCAGGGATCTTCGAGTGCTTTACTCGCTTTCCTAGTGCTAGCTTAGCTTTAATCCAAAGTGTTTTACGGTGGGGAAGGACAACAATGGAGGATGCCTGCTGGTGCCGGATGCCCATGCCCCATGCCCCCCTGACCTGACCTGGTCTGCTGGAGTGCTTCTAGCTCTCTACTCGGAGAGAGAGATTGTTTTTTCAGACCCAGTTACAAAACGCTCACGTACATCTATATGGACGCACGCACGCACACCTTACCTCTATGAACACCTCCAAAGAATTTAGTTAGATCGGTAAATATCGAGATTAACGATTGCTGTCGAGGAACATGCCGTCTATCACTAAAAGAATATCGTCGTTAAATTTTATAATAAATTTAGAAAAATATAAACACCCGTGTCAAAATCGGTCGTAGGGAACCCAGCCAGCCAGAGAGAGATGGTTTGTCGTGTCTTCGGCCGGCGGCCTTCGGCTTCTCTTTTGTCCGCTTTAGTTTAGTGGTAAACTAGTAGCGGTATGCCTGGTGCCCGATGATTTGTATAATTGGCACGTCAAGCATCTGCTTTGGCTGGGATCACGTGGAAAGCGCCCAGATCCCGGAGCGCAGCGCACCGTCTGCTCCGCCCTCTCGGTCGGCTACGGGACGGGACGGGACGGGACGGGAAGACCGGCCGGACGACGGCCGGTGCGTGCGTTGGTTTCGCCGTTTCTTGCTTGCCGCTCCGTCACGCAGCCACCACCGCCACTGCGCCATTGCCTGCACGACTTGCCCCCGCCAGTGCTTGGAAACTCGGGTTTATTCTGTTTGTGTGCACCGGAACTCCCAAGGAATCCGTCGATCGGTCGATGCTACGACAAGTGCCTCTGTCTCTCCGGGTAAATATAAAAGTTACGGTTCTTATGCCAAACTGCCAACCGTACGTTAGCAATATTCGTCACTGAACATTGTTCTAGTGGCGTAGAAAGTCGCTTAGTTATATTAACACCTATAGAGTAATAAAAAACGGTGAAACGTGAGTGGACACCTGCAGAGCCCAGCTGAGTGCATGTTTAGTTCCTAAAATTTTGTAAAATTTTTTAAGATTCCTCGTCACATCAAATCTTTGGACGCATGCATGAATCATTAAATATAAATAAAAAATAAAACTAATTACATAGTTTAGACGAAATTCACGAGACGAATCTTTTAAGCCTAATTAGACTATGATTGGACACTAATTACCAAATAACAACGAAATTGCTACAGCACTATTTCCCAAAAAATTTCGCCAACTAAATAAGGCCTGAAATAATATACACAAGATGGCATATTCACAGCACAGATCCCCGGATACATACGTACAGTGCTTATATACTCCTGTATATACACGGCTATACTACTACATCTTGAGGGATGGTGGTCCCACATGGTGGTCTCGTGCTCAGGGTGTGATTAGTTGCGCATGTGAAGGGTAGGGCTGGAACGCCTTAAATCTGCACGTTGATTAGGGGACACACGTAGGCCCGTTCAATCCCGTTTTCTATCCTCGCGTGACTAGGTTATTGATGATCCATGATCATGATGCTCTCCAGCCAGGGGAAAAACCAAAGGAAACGATGATGATGACCATGATGCCCAACGGGTCACCAGAATTTCTTAACCCCAAAGAAGGGACCCCGATCGACCGAAATCAAATGGTCCTAAGCTGGCCTTAGCTCTTGGTTGCAATACGGTCTATTGATGGAACACAAGTCTGACCATGTCATAGTTCACTTGACTTACTCTAAAGTGTATGTCATGCATGCCCCTAAACTTCGTGTTCATTGAGTGCTTATTACTTCGTTAGATTGCAAATATAAGCCTATCCAGATTTGTCAAATTTATTAAGCTTCGATCATTAACTAATAAATATCTACAAAAATGTAGATGTTGGTGGTATATTTTATAAACTTGGCAAATTTGTCAAAATTTGGACTTAGGACAAATGTTAGGCCTCTTTAGTACATTTTGGGGATGAAGGAGTCATCTGCGAGACCTTCATTTTGTTCTGCAATCGACCAGTGGCAGACCTAAATGGTGGTCATGCTGGGCCTTGCCGTATCCTAAAAACTGCTAGTGATTACCGACAAACTATCACTGCCTGTTGGAGTGTTTAGCTCTGTTTTGAGCTCGTGCGATAAATAAATTTCTAGACGGAAAACGATTTTCTCTCATTGTGACCAACCAAAGATCTTCAACTTAAATTTTATAATAATCCGTAAAATAAGAATAATACAACAAGACAAGACTGTAGCCTTCTCTTTCTCCACTTCTCCTCTAGGTTCCTCTAATCCCCTGAAGAGCAAGCTACACGCCCCTGCCCCTAAGGTATGCGATTTGCCTACCCTAGGTGACATAGATCTATTCATCCTCGAATTAGTTCCATTAATATACGCATAGCCAATCAGATTCTAGGATTGCTGGTGGATCGATTGTGGAGAAGTCATACAGACATTGCATCATGTTTTTTATTTCTATAGAATTATTGTATTTTACTACATCTGTTCTATAGGATGCAATTCTAGAGTAGTGTTCGGTAAAACCCTCTTTAAATTTGATCAAACTTACTACATCCGCATATCTACCGAATTGTCAATGAGTTTACAGTAGTATGCATTAATCGTCATGTTCGTTTGAGCTGGTTTGGCTTATAAGTCATGACTGAAAGTACTGTTGACTGGTTTAGTATAAAAGAAAAATACTATTCGTTGAAGATAAGCCATGACTTATAAGCCAAATATGATCCAGCGGCTGAATACTTACGGTTACGGTATGGCACACAGAACATAAGACAAATCAGAAGTCGCGAGGAGTACGTAGGACAGTAGGAGTAGGTCTGTGACCGTGACCGTGAGGACGCCGTACAGAAACGTCGGTGCTCTCAGTGGCCTGGCTCGTCCTGGAGCAGAGCAGGTGTACTATAGCGGCAGAGCTGCATCGGTCGTGCTGGAGTACATACAGAGACAGTGCACATGACACGTCTTTGCCTGCCACAAAATCCACACTCAATGCGGGATCCGCGACCAGCGGACCAGCCCGACGCTGTGGACTGGAGCCGGTGTCCGAGAGTCCCGCTCCAATGAGGCAGTCACGAATGAGACGGAGTCGGGTGACGAGTCGCTATCCTCTCCTATCATCCTCTGTGGTCTCTCTGCATTTAGGTTTAGCCATTTACTGTGAAGCTCTAGTATTGCTTAATGCTTTGACGTGCTGATGAGGAGAGATTGGGCTGTAGTCTGTAGATCAGGCGCTCACGTCACGTCCAGGCGCAGCAGGAGGGCTGGTGCAGCACTTTGTACTTCTGGCCCCTGTTCAGGTTGTATGATTTGATTTCCTCCGCTTCTCTCAGGCGTTATATGTTTTATTACTCTGATGATTGTCCCGATTTTGTCGAGACCGCCATCGGTCCATCGCACTCTGTTCACCCTGTTTCAGTTTCAGGACTGCGTATCAATCAAAGATCTATATATTTCTGATTCTCAAAAGGTTACGAATTTGTGGTTGGCCTAAAATCCTCGCCCCCCAGTATCTGCAGATCGACCGCAGCCAAGAAGGCAGCAATTATTATTATTATTATTATTGTTATTATTATTGTTTGATGCAGGAGGCACAGGGCAGCAATTATTTACTATTATTACTACTGTAACTTGTCGCTATTTCGGGTTGTCCACGGACCACGGGTGCGCTTGAAGAATTGAGCTGCAGTCTGCATGGTTAACAAATGGAGTCCAGAACGCGAGGCCCAGCCCAACCAAAACAAGGGAAAGGGAGAAGCATGGGCCGGGAAGGCGCCAACTCCCGCCTTGGAAGGCCTGTGATCTCGCCCACGAAGATCCTAGCCCGCGTGTCACGGTCCGTGAACTGAACATTCGGCCTGGCTGGTAGTACACGGGTTAAGCGATGCGCATTTTGGTCATGCGCTACCGCTCCCAGTCCAGATGGTCGATTACTCAGCAGTCAGCACACAGCAGCATCCGGGATGACGAAAATGAGATACACCACAAGTACTGTGCATTCAATGAGATACCACTCTGTCTCTGTGCATGGTAGACGACGGTACTCGGGTACTATAGTACTACCTCCCCGCATGTGCTTCGACTTCGAGTGCATACATACTCCTGCAGGGTAAACAATACAATGGTACAGAAGCCGCGAGGTTTGACTAGCGGAGGGAGCATCTGCACTACGGTCTACGAACACCATCTGACGGCGCGTACGGGATGCTGCTACGTATCCTTGCCAACTCCTACACGCGCGACTGCATACCGTGGAGCAGGTGGATACATTGACTTGCGAGACGGCCCCTCGTGCGTACCTGCAGGGATCGATTCAAGTGCGTGTGATGGCTGAAGAATCGCGCGCGGCTGGGGCTGTACCTTCATGCACACTGCATCGTGCATTGGATTCTTGTTTTCAAGGGCATCGCGCCAAAGGCTCGGCGTGCCATAGTTTCTTCGGCAGCCATAGTTTGTCGAAGGCTAGGCGTGACATATTTTGGTCACCACATAGTTTCGTCCTTGGGGACTGCTGACTGCTGCAGTTAGCACCAGTAGTACGTTAGTACCCAAGCATACTAAACTATACTGATACTGTTCAACCGTGACCTACTCCTACGGTCCTGCACGGTTTCTTTTAACCATCGGAGAAAAATGGTGCTGTATTTGCACTGCTATCATTTCAACTCTCTCATCAACGAGCCTTGCCTTGATCCACATGGTCCAAGAAGATAGCTAGTTAGCCCTGCATCCCTGGAGCAAAAGAATAAGCCCTGTCAGCGAACCATTGTCCAAGCCAGCTGCCAGCCAGACAGCCCGCTCAAATTCTCACCCCACTACTGTTGACACGTTTGGTGTGGCTGGCCACTGGCCTCCACCTCGATCGATCGATCGATCGTATTCGTCCGCTCGTACGCACGCACGCGCACGGGGTCGGCGGGAGACGCCGCATCGGGATCGAGCGAGCCAGCTCCGGCCGCCTCGCTCCAAGCCACGCGCGCATCCATCCACTCCACAGCCTGAACGTGAGCCCTTGTTCGGCGTCGTCACACCCGGTCCGCGACAAGGAACCTGGTCCACGTCCAGAGCGCGCGTCGCGTCAAGCCCGCCGTCCGCGCCGGCCGATCGGGCGACCACCTGTGAGCCGCCCCAGCTTGCGCCTGCGGGCGGCCCCCGCCCCAGGCGCCAGCCAGCTCCGACTGCACGTCTGCACTGCACTGCCCGCGTGAGCTCGACCGCGCGCTGTCAGCACTGCTACCTCTGAAGATGGCGCAGCACCAGGAAGGATCCCAAGCGGGCCTCCAAAAGAGCAGGCCAGGCCAGTCCGTGTACGACGGCCCGTCAACAAGTTCGCTGGTTCCGAGTGGGACGCGTAGGTAGTATTAAGTTCTAGTCGGCGAGAGAGAGAGGGCATGAGAAATCTGTAAAAGAAATTCCCCTTACTCTTCCTAAGCACTCCTCAGTATTATAAGCACTTATCGTCAATTTCGCTCTGTTCCTCGTTTCCGTACTACAATTTCTGTTCTTCAATTCCTTGGATTCGTTTTTCCTCCTAGCCTAGCGTTCCCAGCTCACACGCGCGTCCAGTGATCTCGTGATGGAGAGCCCGGCCGGCCCGGGCGCCCTCGCTCGGCCGGTCGGCCCCAACTGATCGCTGCGCACCATGCCAGTACACGAAGAAAAGTGCCTACGCCGTGTACGGATCGCGCGGCACCCACCCGAGGCCTAGCCTAAGGGCCTGTTTGTTTCCGCAATGCCGTACGCGAACGCGGCTCCGAGGCCGATTTTCTGCTTCGAAACGCGCGAGCGCCGCAGATCGTTCAGCGGCGTTTTTCGCACATCTCAGTCGCCAACGCGCTTATGAGCGGAAACAAACAGGCCCTAAGCTTGGCCAGCCGTCGCCTTGGGCGTATTGCATTTGGCATAGTTGCCTGCCGCCCCGGTGGATCGATGTGCTTGCCACGGCAAATGCAGCTATGCTATGCTACGACTAATCAGCGCGGGGGCGGGGTGGCGATCGATTCTGTTGGCCCGGGTACAGAGGCTACAAGCTGGTACATCCGCGCAGCCCGGCTTGTGACTTGCGAGGGCTTCCGTCCGTGGGAGGAAGGAGGTGGTTTTTGCGTTTGTCTCTGGCTTCGTCCTTCGTTGGGCAGCCGGGGACCTCGCGCCCCACTCGCAGTGACCTACACGCTGGTGTGCTGCCTGCACAGGCCGTTTCCTTCGCCGTGGACCGTGGTCGCTGTGGTGGTGCTAGCGCGTTTCCGACCCTGACTGACAGCGCACACGCTGTAAACGAGATGTTCCGTCACGTGCAATGGATCGGTCGAGTCAAATGCAGCAGCCCATCATCAAAGGCGTTGACGCCGTGCTTACCCGCTGTACTGCGAGATCCAACGACCAACCAAACCTTCGCACAGGTTCGATCGATAGGACATCCTTGTTGGCTGCATCAGTACTCAAATCGATCCCGTGCAGGCTCTGAAGAGATTATATTATTACCGTCCTCCAAAAGGCATAATTCTAGTTGTTTCTTCAGACAAAGTATCTATAGTTTGATTCTATTGATATTTATTACATCAAATAGGTGTAAATATTGCATGAAGAATCTAGTGCTACTTATTTATAATATTATAAATATCGACATTTTTTAAGATAATTTACTTGAATTTAAAATGAACTGACTCGAGTTGCATTACTCCTAGTGACTTAGTGAGTGTGTGTTTGAGAGAGTGTGCAACACAACGCCGTAGCGATTGGTCGATGTACGTGTACCTCGTCACGAGATGCATATACTAAACTCGCCGATCTGCAGGCTTTAGGGTTTTCCTTTTTGACCTGAGGCATTTCCCATTTCCATTACTAGATAATGGAAATACAGTAGTTCGGTAAGTAGAAGTAGAAAAGCAAAAGAGAAAAGAAGCAGCTATGGATCAGCCCAAAGTAGACGATCACAATCCTCTGTTTCAGAGAATCAAGATCGATTACAGAAACCACTAGCCCAAACGAGACAGACTGAAATGACTACGCTACAGAAACCAGTTAATTATTGAGAAAACTAGGTCACCTTAATTTAGCATTAGTAAAAAAAATTGCACGGCGATGAGATTTTTTTTTTTAACAAAGCACGGCGATGAGATAGAATCGTAGAAGTGGGAAAAGAAGAAGAAGAGAAGAGTAGATAGTCAAGGAATTGATCTGACGGATATAGTGGAGGTAGATGGAGAGAGAAAAATTATAATAAAAACCAACAATACTATTTAAAAAACATTCACAAGTAAAAAAACAAATTTGTGAACAAAGCTAGATATCTACACTATTTACGAATTACGCGGGCAAACTTGCTAGTGACACTGAACGAAATGTGTACATAATGAGCATAAAATCGCAAAGCTAAGAAATTATGGCACCCATTGTACGATCCTAGGTAGCACTTCTTGTCGATAAAAATCATGACCATCTTAAATGGAAAGGGTATGTAGTTCTTGTAGGGAATTTTGTTTCGAATATAATAGTTGTTTTGCATGAATTTGTAGATGAATATGCAAAAAAAAAAAACATAGACACGACAATGTATACTTAAGTGACTACAGTATAGTATTACTACGGAGTAGTATGTACTTGTAGCAGTGCAAGATCAGAGGCATCGGAGTCACACGATCGGTGCCATTTTGCAATCTAATAACAGCACATTTCGCCAGCAAAGATCAAGCCGCAACCGGTAACCCTCTTACGACTAAACCAGCAAAATAAGACGTCCGGGTCATGTTATGTATGTACAGCAACAGCGTTAACACGTACAGTACGTACAAATTATGGTGTGGAGTGTGGACTGTGGTCCTCGTCAGCTTGGCGCCCGTCACGACACTTGTCGTCTACTAAACCCCGCGGTCTTCAGTTTTCTTCTCCCTCTCCCCATACCCTGTCCCTCCTCTTCCTTCCCACGCAGGCACCGCACCAGCGCAGCGCCAGAGGCCAGACCCACGCTGGCACGCCACCTCCCGCACTCCACGCAGACACGCACAGCTCAACCTCCCATTTCTCTCCGTCTCCAACTGCTCATTTCTCCTCCTCCCTGTGAACGCGCGCGAGTGTGGTGGAGAGGAGGGAGGGAATCCCCCTTTCTGTTCCAGTGTTCCGCGCCGTGCTCGACCCACCCGCACTCCGCACGCCGCCTTTTCCTCCGCCCTGCTGCTGGCTGCTGCTCCCTCCCACTGGACGACCAAAATCTTTTCCTTCACTTTTCTCTCCCTTTTCCCCGCGCATGCACGGACTCTGATTGACGCCATGGGGGACGCCGCCGCCGCAGCGGCCTCCACGTCCGCTCCCGACACGCCAACCTACATCCTCATCTGCCGGGAGGACGGCAGCGACCTTCTCGCCGACGCCGACGATGGCACCGACGCCGACATCGTCGTCGCCCGCGACGAACGGCTGCTGGTCGTGGACCCGGACGAGGAGTATGTCGCGCTGCTCCTGTCCGAGGAGAGCGCGTCAGGCAGCGGCGCCCCGGCGGAGGAAATGGAGGAGTGGATGAAGGCTGCGCGCCCCGGATGCGTACGCTGGATCATTAAGGTCGTTCGCGCGGGAGCTCTACCTCCTTCGTCCCCCAAATTCGGTTTTGCCAATGTTCATCTCTTCTTTCTTTGCTGCTCGCAGACCACGGCGATGTTCCGGTACGGCGGCAAGACCGCCTACGTCGCGGTCACTTACCTCGATCGCTTCCTGGCGCAACGGCGAGTCAATGTAAGTACCGATCAATGACCCTGCATTTCCCATTGCCGTCGCCATGTACTGACTGACTGCGCACTGCGGCCGACTGTGATGATGATGGGTTCAGAGGGGGCAGGAGTGGGCTTTGCAGCTGCTCGCGGTGGCGTGCCTGTCACTGGCGATCAAGACGGAGGAGCAGCACGCCCCGCGGCTGTCGGAGTTCCGGGTGGATGCGTATGAGTTCGACAGCGCGTCCATCCTGCGGATGGAGCTCCTCGTCCTGTCCACCCTCGAGTGGCGGATGATCGCCGTCACCCCCTTCTCCTTCATCAGCTGCTTCGCGGCTCGGTTTCGGGAGGACGAGCGCCGGGCGATCCTCCTGCGCGCCGTGGAGTGCGTCTTCTCGGCGATCAAAGGTTGTTCCTTTTTGCCCCTCCCATGCATTTCCTTCCGTTCCATGGAGCTGGATCGCGGCCGGAACTGATGTTTTGTCGCAGCGATGAGCTCGGTGGAGTACCAGCCGTCGACCATCGCCGTCGCATCCATCCTCGTCGCGCGCGGCAGGGAGGAGACGCCCGCCGGCAATCTGGACGCGCTCAAGGCGATCCTGGGCTCATCATGTCTGCAACTAGACACCGTAAGCCCCTCCCGCCGTGCCGTCCACCGTGTCTGTCCGTCCGTCGTTGCCATCCCTTTCGGGGGAGGCTGTTGGCGGAAAGCGCGATGATGATGATGAGTAACAAATGCGGCCGCTGTTCTTGTCTGGCAGGGGCATGTGTACTCCTGCTACAGCGCGATGATTCAGGACGACGACAAGTCGCCGACGCGCTCGACGTCGACGGGGGTGGCGTCCTCGGGCGTCTCTGTCGCCGCGCACGCCGGAAGCGGGAGCCCCGGCACGGGCGCCTCCGTGTCCGTGGGCGCCAATAATGCCGCTGGCACCGCCATGCTGGCAGCAACCCCGTTCAACCACAACAAGAGGAGACGGTTGCGCTCACCTCAGCGACAGTAGGGAGCTGCTGGGCAGTGACGGCAGTGCAGTCCAGCTGCATTTTTCAGCTCACCATTTTCTTTTGCTGCTGATTGTTTCTTCATTCAGGGAGGGGTGGCCAAAATGCCCGAATCCAAACGGGGGCGAGATTTGATTCTTCTGATTAGTGCGGTGTCAGCAGGGTGATTTTGTGATTTAGTGCTGGAAAGATTTTTTGTTTTGAGGAGATCTTTCCCGGGATCAAAGGGGGTGGCAGTGGACCAAAGCTGAAACAGAGCAAAGCTCTTGCTCAAAGCGTGAAGGCCTCAGACAGACCTGACCTCACAGGGGTACCTACCGTGGTGAAAGTGAAGGAGTCGGAGTCAATTGTTTTTTGTGTGAAAACCTTCTGCACTGTACCAGCTAGTCCGTCTGTCTGTCGTCTACCTTTTTCTGTTTATTAATTAACTAGACGAGTGTCCCTGCGTTACGACGGATGCAACATAAATTAAATGAGACGGTGGTTAGCTAAGTTAAAATTAAAAATATATTCATTCAATTTTTCACATGTATTATACAATGATAATGTCTAGAAACACATTTATTATCGTAATGAATCTGAAATAAAAGCTAGGTTTGGAGCTTGATGTCTGAAAGTTACGACAAACATCAGTTGTCTCAAAGGCTGAAAATTTATTGCTAGGCATCGAATTGAATTTATCCATGCTCTGCCTTACCCAAAACATCAGTATACTCGAACTTACAATATTCTAACCCGCATGAGGCAAGGCAACAATTTATTTTTTTGGGGGGGAAAGTATTTATTGTTAAGACGCAACGCGAAGGACGATGAATGAGATTTAGATCACGATCATGATCATTGCGTGGTGATATTCCAATAAATTTCTTTCTCTTTCCATAATTCTCTTTTTGTTTTATTCCATTTTTTTACTTGCCTTACGGTGTCTCCATGCGGTGATTATTTGCATGCCGGTGATTCCGTGAGTCTTATTCTATTTTATTTACTTGCCTTCCAGTGTCTTCATGCGGTGATTATTTGTCTGTCGGATATGGATCACATGAGTGTTTTGGTCCTGCCGGATAGATGTTGACAACCCGCATATTTTAGTTGTAGAGATAGATATAGAAATAGAGAAGAGATAGAGAAAAAAAATATTTGTTGTCAACACGCAACGCGAAGGACGATGAACGAGATTTGGATCACGATCATGATCATTGCGTGGTGATATTCCAATAAATTTCTTTCTCTTCCCATAATTCTCTTTTCGTTTTATTCCATTTTATTTACTTGTCTTCCAGTGTCTCCATACAGTGATTATTTGCCTGCCGGTGATTCTGTGAGTTTTATTCCATTTTATTTACTTGCCTACAGTGTCTCCATGCGGTGATTATTTGCCTGCCGGATATGGATCGCATGAGATGCGGTGATTATTTGCCTGCCGGATATGGATTGCATAAGTATTTTGGTCCTGCCGGGTAAATGTTGATAATCCGTATTTTTTAGTTGTAGAGATAGAGATAGAGAAGAGATAGAGAAAAAAAGTATTTGTTGTCAACATACAACGTGAAAGGACGACAAACGAGATTTGGATCACGATCATGATCATTGCGTGGTGATATTCCAATAAATTCCTTTCTCTTTCCATAATTCTCTTTTCGTTTTATTCCATTTTATTTACTTGTCTTCCAGTATCTCCATGCAGTGATTATTTGCCTGCCGATAATTTCGTAAGTTTTATTCTATTTTATTTACTTGCCTTCCAGTGTCTCCATATGATGATTATTTGCTTATCGGATATGGATCGCATGAGATGTGGTGATTATTTGCCTGCCGGATATGGATTGCATGGGTATTTTGGTCCTGCCAGGTAGATGTTGACAATCCGTATGTTTTAATTATAGAGATATAGACAGAGAAGAGAGAGAGAGAAAAAAAGTATTTGTCGTCAACGTACAACGCGAAGACGACAAACGAGATTTGGATCACGATCATGATCATTACGTGGTGATATTCTAATAAATTTCTTTTTCTTCTCATAATTCTCTTTTCGTTTTATTTCATTTTATTTACTTGTCTTCTAGTATTTCCATGCGGTGATTATTTGCTTGTCGGTGATTCCATGAGTTTTATTCTATTTTATTTACTTGTCTTCCAGTGTCTCCATGCGGTGATTATTTGCCTGCCGGATATGAATCGCATGAGATGCGGTGATTATTTGCCCGTCGGATATGGATTGCATGAGTATTTTGGTCCTTCCGGTTAAATGTTGATAATCCATATGTTTTAGTTGTAGATACATAGATAGGCTGTCACTGCATCAGTGACAATAGTTAACCAGGTATTGTTTCACTTGGTTATCTTGCTTCGCCCTCTGATGAGACGCAGAGTCGTGTCGTGCTCTTCGGACAGATTTCCGATGCCGAACCAAAGGGCAAAAGCTAGGAGTACCTTTGCTCCATTTTCACCTGTGATTGATGACGAGGCCTTGCTGCTCGTTCGTTGGTACGTATGCGTGCAGTTGCCGTGCACAGCAGGCAGCTGGGAGTAGTTTTATCGCGTGGATCGTGAAAGAGACGCTCGTTCGCTGTGGTGGTGCTGCTGCTGCCTTCTTTCTGACGGCGTTGCCTTTTGTGCCGTGTCATCAAATCGCCTGCTCGCAACCATGGTCCATCCATGGCCATGGCCCCCCCGCTGTTGTTGGGAGATGGCTGGCACTGTTCGTTTGTGTCTCTTTTCCTCTCGTGCACCGCATACGCTGCACCCCTTCATAACTCACTGCGTCACATATGGTTGCAGCTGCAGCAGTAGGGCAGCTAGGCAGGTGAAATGGGACAGCAAGGGAGAGGCCTGAGGCCCTCCTCACTTCAGCAGTCCAGCTTCCTCTCAGTCTCAAACTGCTCCTGCAAGGGATTCTTGTGAACACAAGAAGGTCGAGAGTGGCCTTGCAATGTGCATTGCCATTTGCAAACTGCTCCTGCGCTTCTTTAGGTCACACGTGGCCCATGCGGTCAAAAGCAGAGGGACAGGCACGAGGTGAGAGGGACACGACCTGGTAAAAACTCGATGTACTGGCGAGGCGATGCTGGGCTGTCGTGCGCCTGGCAGCCGGCTAAAAGAAAACATTTGCGCAACTCAACGTGGCAGGGCTACCAGTGGCTGGCACTGTTGGAACTTTATTCCCAGTGGTTGCTTCGTGCTCAGGAGGTCTTGTCTCGTTGGAGAGGATCAGAGGAGTAACATGCTCAGGCCAGTGCTTGACTGACCGGCGCGTGTTCAGCCACCCAAAATCTCAAAAGTGCTACAGTATCTGTCCCATCGAATGTTTACGATCTGTGTATGAAGCATTAAATGTAGACGAAAAAAACTAATTGCACAGTTTGGTGGGAAATTGCGAGACTGAACGTTTTAAGCCTAATTAGTCCATGTTTGAATACTAATTGCTAAATAAAAATGAACATGCTATAATAGCCCCAAATTCTAACTTCGTGGAACTAAACACGCTCCGGTCAAAAACGTCTTGGCATCGATGACACTGCTGTCGGTAGCGATGGAAGCCAGCTGCCAGCTTGGTGATGGGGTCAATTTGAAATGTGCCTGGGATGCCGGAACAAGGTTGGAGTAAGGGGCTGTTTGGATTCAAAAAAATTTGCGCAGTATCCGTTATATCGAATCTTGCGATATATGCATGGAGTATTAAATGTAGACGAAAAAAAAAACTAATTACACAGTTAGGTGAGAAATCGTGAGACGAAATTTTTGAACCTAATTAATCCATAATTAGACAATAATTACCAAATACAAACGAAATGCTACAGTGAACCAAAATCCAAAAAATTTTGGATCTAAACGGGGCCTAACTGAGCTGGCAGGCCTGTGCAGTGCTAGAAGTACATCACAGTTCTTTGGTGTACGAGTAACTGAACTGGAGTAGTATCTCCTGACGCTGGCATTTGGATTGCTACAGATTCCTGATCAAACTTAAATACGCTCCGTTTTTTTTTCTTTAAGCGATATCAGAAGGAAACAGGAATCCTGGTGGATTTTATACGAGCATAAAGAAGCAGAAGATTCACAAGGCTCCTGCATCATGATGGTCTTAACAGATCTTGGAAGCTAGTGGGGGACATTTTCTTAGCAAGGCCCAGTTTAGTTGCCAAATTTTTTGGCAAAACGCTACTGTAGCGTTTTCGTTGTTATTTAGTAATTAGTATCCAATTATAGTCTAATTAGGCTTAAAAGATTTATCTCGTGGATTACGTCTAAACTGTATAATTAGTTTTATTTTTTATTTATATTTAATGCTTCGTGCATGCGTCCAAAGATTCGATGTGACGGGAAATCTTGAAAAATTTAGCATTTTAGAGGGGAACTAAACAGCCCCCAAATCAGAAACATTAAAACCCCACCCATTTCTGGAACTTCTGACCGAAACATAACTTAGCAGATGAAGCAAAATGATACGTACGTAAGTGTCAAAACAAGCACATTCGGGTGAACAACAAGATTGCCATATACAGCTCCAGCCGCCAATGTTCCAAGGAAAAGCACCAGGGAAAAAAAATAAAGCAAAGAACAGCTACAGGAGTCCGAGGCATTTTCTAAGAATCAAGCCCACAACCATGGCTGACGCTCTAAGATCAAATACTACATACAGGATAAAAGGGGCGAAGATTCACTAAAACAAAAGCATTACCAGGCAGCAGAGATCTATCTTGTACACAAATGGCAATGCAGAAAACTTCATTGCCATGATCAAACTGTAGCCATGCCCAACTTCGGTTTCCGGCTGAAATTAGCTCTAGTTTCCTACGAAGACCCAACTGGTATCATCTTCACAATAGCTGCGATAGGCATGCCTACGAAACCGATAAAAATACATGCTATCCACTGGTTGAGCGTAAGAGGGGTAGTGTTTGCGAAATCGCCAAGGAACTGTATTATGATGAACTGGAAGATGACGGTGCTGCCGAGGACAGCAATGAACACGTTGTTGTTTAGAATGCCTTCAAACACATTTATCCTCTCCATCTCTCTCGAGCTCACCTCATTGAATACCTGCACAGAAAAGTTAAAGGTTAAGTTCACAAATAATCGCATCGCTAGTGCAATAAATTTAAACCGAGCACAAATGCAAACTAACCAATTCATCAGCACTTATCTAGTTAGCTTGGACTTACCTGGCAGAATACGAAGCAATTGAAGATCAGTGTGTTCAAGACTAGATCGGAGTTATCGCCCTTGATTCCAAACAACCACTTCCCCTCTGTCTGTAGGTACCAAATTACAAGGAACTGGTAGAAGGCCTGTCCCAGGATGTTTCTCCACATAATGTTACTGATGAAGTTTCCTTTCCTTCCAACAGGTGTTCTCTTCATCAGTTCATTGTTTGGGGGTTCTGTAGCCAATGCCAGTGCACCCAGTGTATCCATGATCATGTTGACCCAGAGCAATTGCACAGCAGTAAGAGGAGCACTCCCTGAATCAGCATGAATACAAACAATGAGATGTTGATTTATGAAATAAACAAAAGGACATTCAGAATACGCTCAAGCAGTACAAGGATTTCCAAACCATGAACTAATACAGGATGACAAATGTACCTGTCAGGCAAGCTGAGGAGAAGTTTACCACCAGAGCAACCACATTGACAGTGAGCTGAAACTGCACAAACTTCTGAATGTTGATGTACACTGATCGACCCCATTTTGCAACGGTAACAATAGTGGAGAAGTTGTCATCAAGAATGATGACATCAGCACTCTCTTTGGCCACCTTTAAGAATATGTTAAGAAGAGTCAAAATCAAAATGGGAGTAAATAGTGAATTTAGAAGGGCAGGCCTGGTGCGGTGGTGAGAGCTGTCTCACTGAGTCACCAAGTCGTGGGTTCGAAGCAGCCTCTCCGCAGATTTGCAGGGGGGAAGGCTTGCCTCGGTTTTTCCCTTCCCCAGACCCCACTCATGTGGGAGCCTCCGGCACTGGGTTTGCCCTTTTTTAGTAAATAGTGAATTAACTTGAGATATCATGTAATTGATGGTGTTACTCATGGTCATGGATATCAAGATCTCATAGATGTCGCAGCCATATAGAAGAATCAAAGAGCAAAAACTATACTATTAAATATAGCTAAAAATTACTTTCCAAGATATTTGGTATCAGTGATTACTACAAGATATCAGTAATAGTTTGGTTATTGAAGGACATGGCTAGTTATTTTTAGCAATGTAAGGGAAATCTCGAAATTACCTCGGTTCCGGCAATGCCCATTGCAAGCCCAATATCAGCCTCATGAAGCGCAGGCGCATCATTTGTCCCGTCACCAGTCACAGCCACAACTTCGTCGAGTTTAGTTCGAAGATGCTTGACAAGGGTATGCTTATCCAGTGGTGAAGATCTTGCCATCACCTGGTGCATCCATAGCAAAGCACAGTGATCGATGAGCTACTAGATTTCGCAAAAGCGCACAAAGATGGGTACTAGAACTCATGAACTTACCTGTATCTTTGGTATCAGTTGAGTAAGCTCTTCTTCACTCTTGGTTCTGAAATCTGGGCCTTCTATGGCAATGCCACCTTCAGTTAAAATGCCGCATTCCCGGGCAATTGCCTTTGCCGTGTTGATGTTGTCACCTGTGACCATCCTGACGGTAATACCTGCTAACCTGCAGATGGCAACTGATTCCTTCACTCCGGGCCGGACTGGATCTTTGATCCCCACAATGCCAATGCAGGTGTACCCATCTGTCGGGATCTGATCATTGACTGAGAACCCATCCTCAACTTCCATGTAGGCAAGACAGAGAGTGCGAAGTGCCCCATTTGCGAAGCTATCGATTGTGGCCTTCAAGTGATCAATGGTTCCTTCATCCAGGGGGACGACATTGCCTTCCTCATTCAGGTACTTGCTGCAAGATGCCAGTATGATCTCTGATGCACCTTTGCAATGTGCTCGCAGTGCACCCTCTGGGAGCTGGACTACCACTCCCATTCTCTTCTTGGCAGAGTTGAATGGCTCCACCTTTACAAGGGTGCTTGCTTTGCGCACCGCCGAAAAGTCTCCACCGAGTGACAGCCCGAACTCCAGAATAGCTGTCTCAGTTGGTGTCCCCAGTATTTCACGTTTGCCATCCTGGTTCAAGACAACGTCGCCCCCAGTGTTGTTGAATATGGACTGGGAGAGAATTGTCATGACAGAGTCTGGGAGTTCAGAGAACAGGCTCTTCGCATCTGAAGCACCATCCACTTCTTTGATCTTACCACAGATGCAGGCTTTGACAACAGTCATGTGGTTTGTCGTGAGAGTGCCGGTCTTGTCACTGCAAATGGAGGTCGCTGAGCCCATGGTCTCACAGGCTGCAAGGTGCCGGACGAGTGCCTTGTCATTCATCATCTTTTTCATTGCAAATGCAAGGCTCAGTGTCACGGCGAGCGGTAGCCCTTCAGGTACTGCCACAACGACGATGGTAACAGCGATGGCGAAGAACTCAAGCAACTCCAATGCGTCATCTCCAGTCCAGCTCAAGTATGTGCCATCAATGATCTTGCGCCGGAACAGGCTTTCAGTGAGCACCGCGAATGTGACGACAGCAAAGATAAGTCCTATCTTACCAATGATGGTGGCCACACCGTTCAACTTGACCTGCAATGGCGTCTCGTCATCACCACCTTCGCTGAGAGTGGCCATCAGCTTCCCCCACTGAGTCCTCATGCCGACTGTCGTGACGAGCATCTTGCAAGAACCGTCCTGCACCTTCGTCCCTGACAGAAGGAATGGGTTCTCAGCATTGACGGCAACTGGCTCACTCTCTCCGGTCAAGCTCGACTCGTTGATCAGAAGCGAGAAGCCTGACATGAACATCCCGTCAGCCGGCACCTGATCACCAATGGAGAGATGAACGATGTCGCCGGCGAGAAGTTCATATATCGAGAGCTTCTGCCTGTACCCACTCCGGGTGACTTGCACCGTGATCTTCTTCTTCTCCTTGTCGAGGTCCTTGAACTGCAGGGACTGGCGGTAGTCGCTTGATGCTGTGACGAACACGACCAGCAGGATGCTGGCCACAATGCCGAGCCCGTCGTGCGCGCCCTTGGGCCATCCCTCCGTGGCTATGCCAACGATGAGCGAGACAAAAGCGCACACGGCAAGGATCATGAGTGTCATGTCCTGCAGCGCCTCCCAGACGAAGACCAAGAAGCCACGGGGCTCTGCCTCCGCGAACTTGTTGATGCCAAAAACATTCCGCCGGGTCGCTAGCTTGTCCGCGGACGTGGCGAGGCCGTCAGACTCCGAAGTCGATAGCTTGGACGTGAGGCCCTGGACGCCACCGTGAGAATGCAGCTTCTTCACGTCATGGCCCTCGACAATCGAGCTCAGCTCCTTGGCGCAGATGCCAAAACCAGCCGCCTTGACATCAGCAGGGACCTTGTACTCGCTCGATGGGGCAAGGCCTGTGGAATTGAAGTGGTGGGAAGATTGATGATTGAAGAAAACGATAAAAGTGGTAGTGAACTCCGGACTCAGGTGGGGTGGTATCATACTGTGGATAAACTGAAGTGCAGCCTTTGAAACAAGCACGGCAACACGCAGCTTCTCCTGAGATAGGTAAAAAAAATTCATTGATTGTAAGTTCTTGAGATTGATACGCAGCTTACTCAAAACCCTACAATATTTTTGTTCTCAGAAAAATTGCAGATAAGTTTAAAGATAGATAAAGGTTAATTTAGTAAAATAAATTTACAGTTGCAACAATGAACTGTTATAAAGTACGGTAACATCCATGGTGAATCATAATCTTCTTGGCAGGAAAAGAAGAAAGCAGAAGTATACCATTGTGAAATAACTTTTTATGAACAATTCACCAATATTTTTTATGCGACTAAATTTCATAGTGTCACCTATACAGGCAGTAAACAATTAGGTGCAAATCTGAAACACACGAACACCAAAATAATTTTACAAAAACAGACACAAATCTCTATGATTCATCGATTCCAAATATGGCCTAAAATGCTTGATTGGATGCTCTCTAGGGAATATTGCAACTTGCAGAAATAGAAAAGACAACATAGCAAGATTCTTTTCCACATAGTTTGGTTTCTGTTCATGATCAGTACTTTGCATATAACATATTCCATAAATCAGGGACATAGTTTCATGTTCGCTGGAAAACAAAGTGGTTGAGAACCTGATGGTTGAGAACCTGATCCACGCTTCTATCAGGGCAGTCTCAATGAAAGAAACTATTAGTTTCTATAATATAGGATACCGCACCAAAAAAGTACTGCTTTTCAACCCATGGTTTCTATGAGTAATAATTATTTTCTCTTTCTCTCTCCTAACTCTATCTTTTTCCTCCAATGGGAGTGCGACACGAACTCCCTAGAAACTTGTGGTTTCTCCCCAATGGCGATTTCATGGTTTCTCGGTGCATTGGGTCAAGAGTAGACCTGATTTCTTCATGAGTAAACCATTTCTATGATTTTTGCTCTCTTTCTTCATTAATTACGTTGCCATGTCAGCGTTTTGCCTACGTGGCAAGTCATTTAATGAGGATAGAAACCACCATCAATACATCATTGGGACTGCCCTTAGTCAATTGCTTAGAGGTCGCTTTCAGAGTCTGGGAGAACATGACGTTTCATATTTTTATGTATTTGGCTTTGGATGTGGTGTTGTCTGCACTTTCCTTGTGTAACCCAGACCTATTATAATACTGTGGTCTTGTGTTTCATAATGTCATATGGTAATTAAAGTAAGGTTATGATCAGCAGGAAACAAACTGTGTGCAGCATTAAAAATATGCTGCAGAACTTTAGGGGAAAAGATAAAGAAATTGCTGCAGAAATTTCGAAAAAAAATATAAAAAAAATGTTGCGATGTCCTTCTTATCTGAACTTATTATCCTAGCAATTGTATCGACCAATCTTCCTTTGAAACTGTGAGCAGTAGTCCTATACCACTTGCAAAAAAACGCGGAAAAGATCTACCACTGGGTTCTTTCTGAAGTCAGACTCATTCTTAGTAGTGGTTACTGGCACGCTCCATGTTTCCTTTTTGACTGAAATCCTGCAGCGCACACCTCGTTGAACAAATCAACCTAACTTGTGTTGACCGACTCTGTATCTAATTTCGCAACATTTTTTTTTCGAGACTATAAACAATCCCATTACCCACTGCCGTCAGCTAAATCTTAGGCACCAGAAGGATAAGATACGATGAAATTTTAGCTAAGACAGCGCTAACATTGGCATGAACATTCAAATTGCTGCTGCGGTCTGCAAGAGCAGGAGCAGGAACCGGCGCTGCTGAAGCAGGGGAAGCGCAGGGAGCAGAGATCAGGGGAGGAGGGGAGAAAAAGCTCGCACGTACATGGTTTTTTCGCTTCATGGCGGTGGCCTCGTTGCGCTTGTCGAGGTTGGCCGTGAAGCGGAAGCGGCGCTTGGGGTTCTTGACGACGCCGACGACCTTGCGCCATCGTCGCAGCGCCTCGTCCGACGAGTGCTTGGCCTGCACGGCCCCGAAGTTCTCCTTGAGGTAGCTCTCCATCTCGCTCGGCTGCCGGATTCGAATTCCCTCTCCCACCAACCCTGCTGCTGCCGGGGCCGCGTGCGTATATATTCACTCACGCGGTCGCGTGGGGGGCGCTCCCCTCTCCTCTCTCAGCCGCGTCTGCGTGGGCGTGGGGCCGTGCCGTTGACGCGTAAGGACGTGACGGCGACTTCTGGCGTGGGCAACCACGTTGCCGGAAGTTGCGTCGCGCACGCTGGGGGTGGAAGGAAGGGAAGGTGCGCGGTGGTTTGCTCGGACCCGAGCCGGACGGGAGGAGGAAAGTTTGGAGGGAGGGAGGGATGGAGAGGGAGCAGCAAGGGTGCTTTGCTTTCCCCGACCTGGCCAGCGAGCGAGTGACCACCCCGTCCCCGTGGTTGGACACGCCGAGTCCTCGCCGTAAACGTTGCGCTGCTGGGCCGGCCCGAGAACGACACCACCTTTTTGCCGAAAGTCCAACTCAGTTCTCAAGTAATTTCGTCACAAAAAAATGTTCGGAACTGCCAGCGCCCGGACGTCCGATCCGGGCGCTACTGTCCGGACGCTAGGACCTTCGTACCGCACCTCGCCTTTTCCGCACGGAATCACGTCCGCCTGCCCGCCCTCACGGAACAGAAATAGCGATCGGAACCGCCCTTCCTCCGCTCCCCGCGCACGGAACCCGCCCGCCCCCAACACACACAGAACCCGCCCGCCCCCAACCTCGCCTGCCCCCCGCGCACGGAACGGATCGAATAGAATGGGTTTCCCATCCGCCCCCAACCTCGCTCGCCCCCAACGCACTCCCATCAGAAAATTGTTTGCAACATCAAACAAAGCGCAATGCGAGGTAAAACATCAGAACAAGTCTACTGTAACATTGGAACAAGAGTGACTGCAACAGCACAACAAAGTTACTGCAATACGAGATGCAACATCAGAAAAAAAATACTAATGCAACAAAAAAAAGTTACTTGTTGCAACAGCAAACAAAAGCTACTGCAACAACAAAAACAAAGCGCAATGCGAGATGCAACATCAGAAAAAAGACTAATGTAACAAAGAAAAAATACTTTTACAACAGCAAACCAAAGCTATTGCAACAACAGAAAACAAAACCGTAGTGTGAGATGCAACATCAGAAAAAAGACTAATGCAACATAGAAAATATACCTGATGCAACAACAAAACAACGCTACTGTAACAACAGAAACAAAAACGCAATGCGAGATGCAATATAAAAAAAGACTAATGCAATAAAGAAATATTACTTGTTGCAACAGCAAAACGACGCTACTGCAACAATAGAAACAAAAAGCTCAATACGAGATGCAACATCAGGAAAAAAAACTAATGCAACAAAGAAATATTACTTGTTGCAATAGCAAAGCAAGCCTATTGCAACAGAGCTCGTCAGAACCCTAGCCACCGCCGCGTCCCTTAGATCCAGATCCAGAGGAGGAGTAGGAGGAGGAGGAAGAGAAGGAGGAGGAGAGCTCAAATCCAGAATATGAGGAGAGAGGAGGAGGAGGGGTCAGATCCAGGGAATGACTCACCTACCTCGCCGGAAGTCGCCGCCGTCGCCCTCCTCTCCGATTGCATGGAGGTCGCGGAGCGAGGGAGGGAGGGAGGGCCGGCTCACCGAAAGCCGTCGCCGTCATCCTCCTCTCTGGTGGCATGGAGGTCACGGAGAGAGGGAGGGAGGGAGGGAGGAAGGGAGCGCGAACAGGCGGGCACGACATCGAGGTGGATGCGAGCATGGCATCCGTCCCAGAGAGCAGCAGCGAGCGTAGCAGTGCGGAGGAGTGGAGAGGGGGAGCGGGCGAGTGGAGCAGAGAGTGGGCGAGGGAGGTCACGGGGACGGGACGAGGACCGAACGGATAAGGAGCCGGGGGGCGCGTCGCTTCGCTTCGCGGCTCGGTCGCGTCCGAAATATCGGACATTTGAGTCAAAGTATTTTTAAAGTAATAATAACCAGGATGCGTTTATCATTAGAGATTTCGAGTGGTGTTAACATAAACGTGTGGTGTGGTTGTGGTTCACAACTTGACATAACAAGGATCGATTTATTGATTGACCGACTCGAGGCAGGAAGCGAGGAGAACCAACACATGGGATGGGATGGGCCCCAAGGTTTTGCAAAAAAAAAAGATAGTGCTACAGAACATGTTCCCACGATCCTCGCACTCGGAGGATGATTGAACAGAGAAGAGATGAAGTTGAGTATTAAATATAGACTATTTACGAAACTAAATATACAGATTAAAACTGTTTTGCGAGATGAATTTTTTAAACCTAATTAGTCCATAATTTGATAATATGGTGCAACAATAAACATATGCTAATGACAAATTAATTAGGCATAATAAATTTGTCTGACGGATTACTGACGAATTCTATAATTTATTTTTTTATTAGTATCCGAATATCCTATACAATACCCTCACGTAACACCTCTGAACTTTAATACCGAATCCAAACACCCTGCATAGGAAATTACCGTACGTATATTCTGTGTGGTGAAGAAGATAGTTCCAGCTGCGATGTGCTGTCCATTATTATCGGGACGGAGACGGGGCCACGGGCGCAGCGAGTGCAAGACGGTGGCAACTGGCAAGACGCCAACAGAAAACGTTCAAATTTCGAAGTCTAAGTCAAGGGACGCGAGGGCGAGGTGGCTTTTGTGTGTGCGCGCGCGCGTTGTTTTTTTCCTCTTCAAAGACCGAGGACGAAGAGGAACTTGCGACGCGTCTTCTCGGCGGTAGCCGGTAGGGAAAGGCCGGAGACCGTGGGAAGGACGAACCAGGACCACTGCGACTGCCCCTGTGGGACTCACACGGTCGGCCGTTCGCCGCCGCCTTCAGAATAGAAGCAGACAAGTTTTTGACTCATAGCCTGTTCGAGAGGCCGTATCGTATCGTGGATTATTTACTGCTTGCTGGTTTGATGTGAGAGAAAAACACTATTCTCGACTGAAAATTTACGATCGTTTACGAGCAAGCGAACAGGCTGAATTGAGACGGTAAATTGGTGAGCGTGGAGCTTGTGACTCGATTTTGAGCGTGATAATTGAACGTCTTTGTAAATTTGAGGCTATGATTGTCGTGTCAGATTGAGAATTTGAAGATTGCAATGTGCTGTTGTTGCCTGGACAATTAATACTGAATAGTGAATATTACGATCGGCTGATGTTTCTGCATGGAGCAAAAGTCCGAATTCTGCATTCCTGAGATACATACAGTTAAGTTTTGTCAGTGTATTTTCGTGAGAAGTTCAGGAGTTTTCAGGTTTGGTGTTTTTCATGGTTTTGGAGGAAGGTGATTGCATTGTCATCCTACCCAGAACTAATGGATAGTCGGATTTGAGTGTTGTTCTCCGGATTTGCAATGCTGCTCTGAGAAGTTCAGGACATACTCGTACCTCTGTTCTTTCTGAAATGGATGTGTGGTTTCTGAAATGGCTCTATGAAATGGACGTGTGCTCCCTTATATTAATTGCCATCAGTTGGCAATGTAGAATGGATCATTTCCATGATGAAATTGCATCATTGACTTGGCAAAAACTGAAACAGAAACAGGTACATGCAACTTCTTAAGCTTCTATCATGACCAACAACAAAAACTGAGTGCATGTGCCCACTACTTCTGTTATGACGGGCCTCCAGTACAACCGGCGACATCCAGCCAGTGGCTAAGAAGGCACCGCATGGGCTGGCCTAGGACCCGGATCAGTTTCTATTTTTTAGAGATCAGTTTCTATTTTTAGGAGAGAAGAGATTATATATATATAAGCTGTAAGACATTTTGGGGAATTAAGCAAGAGCAAACATAATTGCTCGGCTTCCTTTAGGGAGCCGGGAGATCCCAGAAACCCGCATAGCAGCCACAACTCTTTCCCTCGCGCGTCCCTGTCTCTCTCGCATGAGGAACCACGGCGCCTCGCCGCCGTGCGTCGTCGTTCAAACCTTGCCCCTCCATCTCCCACTCGTATAACTTGCGATCGATCCAGGGTAGGAGTCGAGCTCCTATCAACCTGGTATCAGCAGTCTCAGGTTCGATGTCAACTTCCCATCCCTCGCCAGCGGTCTCCGCGTCCTCGCCCACCACCGCTGCAACCACTGCGCCCCTGCCCTCGTCGTCCTCGGCCCTCATCTCGGCGTCGGGCCCGATCGCGCCCTCTGCCGCAGCTCCAGCGTCCGTCATGTCCGCCGAACAGATGACGGCGGCCATACTGGACCTGGGGCGGGCTGTGGCGGGCATTCATGCCTTCCTCGCTGGTCCGCATGGCCCGCAGCCGCCGCCCCAGCCCCTGTTTCCACAGCAACCGGTGCTTCCGCTGCCCTACAGCCAGCAGGTCCTGCCGCCGCTGCCGTCCGTCCAGCACGTGTCGTTGGCGCCACCCCTACCGGCGCCGCCGTCTGCGGCTGGGTACATCTACGGCATGCCCCACGACGGCGCGCCCTCTTCCGCAGCACTGATCGCGCCGCCGCCTCCGCCCCGCGGCGTGCCGATCACCCAGATTCAGTTTCCCCGATCGCCATCGCGCATTCCGGGCTGGACTTCGGAGCCGGCACCCGTCTACACCACGGCAAGTGCACAGCCCTACGTGCCACCGCTGCCTTCGTCGGGGCCAGTGGTTGCCCACGGGGGGTGCCTGCGTCGGGCGTCCTGTACGGGGGCGTAGACGGACCCCTGTTCCATGGGGGCTCGCTGCAGCCTTCTTCTTCGTCGTCCCCGGCACGCGACGACACTGCCGGGGGCGCTGTTTTGGTCATCGGCCCGGAGCCTCCACCTCCGAAGTTTTACAAGCTCGAGTTCCAGACATACGACGGCTCTGCCGACCCCCTGAACTGGCTCAACCACTGCGAGCAGTTCTTCCGGGGCCAGCGGACGTTGGCGTCCGATCGGACGTGGCTTGCCTCCTACCACCTCCGGGGCGAGGCGCAGACCTGGTACTACGCCTTGGAGCAGGATGAGGGCATGCCACCGTGGGAGCGCTTCCGCAACCTCTGCCGTCTGCGT